AGTGCTTGGTGTATATATTTGGTATCTTAAGTAATTATCATATCGATGCAACCGCCTCAGTTTTATACCTGTGCTATATACATACATAGCCTTTATAACGATTATTATCCTAATATATATGCCAGAATCTTTATTCAGTTTTTGAAATAAAATTTACCAAATACAAAACACATAGTATCCAAAAGTTGAATTGAGGACTTAATTTTGAACATAATCAACTAAAATTCTAATAATAATAATAACTAGACTTGAACAACAGAACATAGAGCTTTTCTCCATTGCTTTAATGAGAAATGAAGTTAAAAAAAAAACATGGAAAACCAATATAACTTTAATGAAGTGGAAAAAAAATGAAGTGATAAAAAAAAAACGAAAATGAAGTTCTCTGCGACATTATTAGTGAGACTTGAACTATGACTGCAATGGTAATAGGGAAGTACATCGTGACTCATAACCATTGCGTGCCATATGTGCCAACCTTGAATAGGTGCATTTTCAGTTCATAGCAATTCAATGACTGAAAGCAAAAATTGTTCATGCATATCACAGTAGCTTTGAGTTTAACTTAGCTGTAACTGGTTTAAGCGTGTTAGAAAACGCAAATTGCTTTTAAATAATTTAATCAACTGTCAACTAAAAATCTTTAAATGGTCCTCATATCCACACCCTACTGCAGATCGTCACCAAAATTGGATCATTTCTTCACCCTCAAATTTACAATCTAATCTGGATCGTTCCCTACACATAATAATATCTTCGTTGTAACTTGTGTTGAACTTTCCGGAAAGTTTCATGACCCATTTTTAAAATATCTGGTCTGGGATGTTTTCCTTTAAATGGCCCTCATATTCACACCTTTTTCATCACAAAAATTCAGTCATTTCTTTACTGGACCCTTACAAACTATTATAGAAAGTTTCATTTACACCCATTGAAAGCTTTTTATATATATTTACATCTGGGATCTTAAAAAAAAATGTTTCATTCAGATAGGTTGATCTGTTTTCGAAATATGCGGTCTTGAACGTTTTGCTTTCAATGGTTCTCAGATATATATCCTACTCCGGATCGTCACAAAAATTTAATCATTTCTTTACTCGACCTTGACAAACTGTTACACAAGGTTTAAATTATACCCATTGATTTTTTTTTTAAAGAGATATTTAGGTTTCGGTCCTCAATAATTGAAATGACCTTTCAATTTACCCCCTTTGACTTACTTGTCGCTAGCACATAATAATTTCTTCCTTGTAACTTGGTTAAAATTTTTCCGAATGTTTCATTCAGATCAGTTGATCCGTTTTCGACATATGTGGTCTGAGACATTTTCTTTTAAATGGTCCTCAGATCCACACCATACTGCAGATCGTCACAAAAATTTAATCATTTTTTTACAAGACCTTTACAAAGTATTATAGAATGTTTCATTTAGACCCATTGGTTTTTTTTTAAAGATATATTTACAGTAGGTCTGGGTCCTCCAAAATTGAAAACACCCTTAAATTTACATTTTGCACTCAAACCTCCTTAGGTACCCACTGATGCTCCTTGGTTGAAATGAGCAATGCAGATAAACACAACACGAAAAACAAATTTTTTTAATCTTTTGTAAAATTATGTTTTTTATTTTAATTTTGTAAAATTTATTATAATTATTATAATTTTGTCTTTTCAGGTTGTTGAGATTGCAACGACAGATGAAGACAATCAGTTTTATTTTTATGACGACGTAATGAACTTGATGGAAGATCCCCACAAATATCATGTACAGTTTTTGGATGATTTCCAGACAACTGAACAAGTTTTTGCCCAATATATACTGCCTCGGCCAAACACGAAATACTTAAGATTCCCTTGTAGCAGTGGCAACACACCTTCAGATGTCGCTGTTGACAGTTTCCTTAATCTTATTAAAGTAAGTACGTTGAGAATGGGTTTTGAGGGGGCAATTAATTGAGGGAGGTATTTATTCGAGGAAGGGATTTACCTGAGGAAAGCGTTTATATTTTGGGTGTAAAATGGATACAAGTATACTCAAATAAACACCCCTTAATTTCACTGTAGGCCTAATTGTTGAACTAAAACACATACCTTTAATTACCATCAAAATGTGTTATTGCATAATCATGAAGCTTTATAGATCCAAACCATGTTAGAAAAATGTAAGTCTACTGGAGTAGAATGTGATGATGTTGCCTATGTGTGTGAGTTAAAAACTCTTATGGTGTCAGTCTATATTGCATATGATTGTCTTTTTAAGGTAATAAAAAACATTGTCAGGCCTTGCTTTTGTTGTATTTCATCCATCTAAATTTTTTGTTGTTTTTATTCATGATGGAAAGTAAAGATTGATTGATTGATTGAAGATGCTAATTGCTCATTTGCGTAATTAATAATGCACTATAGCCAGGAAATTTTAGCTACCGGTATGTTACTACGATAACTAAGGTTTGGTAGGTCTAATCGGTTTCAAACTAGGCAGAATGCAAGATGGTAATAAAGAAGATGGAGCCTGTTGTTTTTGTATGTGTGTGAATATGCTAATTGCTCGTTTGTATATTTAATATTTCACTAATCTGGTGATTTGGGCTAGTTGCCACGATACTAAAGTTACGTAACGCTGATTGGTTTTAAATTTAGCAGAATACATGATGGTAATTTTGTTATTTATTTATTTTATTCTTTATACTGGGAAAACCTGTTCAGTAGCTTATCTACTGTTCTCGAGGACTTTGTAGTACAAGTGTGGGAAATAACCAGGGTGGAATTGGTAGTTAAAGTCCCTGGCCTATCCTGTGTCAAAGTGACACGATTTTCCGCACGATGTTGTGGGAATTTCAATCTTAACTAGGTGCTAAGCCAGTAAGCCCCTTGCTACAGGAAACCTACAGCCACAAGATCGCGACCAGACATTTTGCCATCGGAGACCAGTCAATATTGTGCCCTCTTGGCACTATTGAGTGGCCTTTTTCCTGTTGTCGTTTATAGCACAGTGCGATTTGGTAAATGGCAGTTAAAGTCCATATTAGAATTTTTAGTAAAATAGGTAGTGCAAGTTTCTCATGTCTTGAAGTGGCTGCGGTACCCTCCCCCCTCCTTTTATATGCAAGTGAGGTCCCCGGAGAGATAAGTGATTTCCAGGAGATTTTTGTTTGTTTGCTAGAGTGCGGGAGAGCATACTGATTTCCGGCATACTGGGGAACCCTGTACTTATCAATTCTTAGAGAAAATCACACTGTGGATAGACTATGCTTTTATTGCGTAGCGTAAAAAGAGCATTTCTAGTTATCATTGTGACAAGCCAAAAAAAAAAATTATTTTAACAAGGACGGTAACATTTGGAAACTTAGCTGATTACTAACAATGATAAGTCCAAGGCTTATAGTCTGCCATATGTCCTTTCCCTCTTAAGATTGGCTGTCGAAACTGCAAATTTCATTTCTGAATTCTCATGAATACATACCTTCTGGAACAACATGAAGAAGAGTTGACCTACCGACCCACAAGTTTTCTTCATGTATTTTCTCCATACAGTGTATGATAATATAGTCATTTGGGCCAAAGGAGGTGTGTCCGTTGGTTCATGTTGAATAAAGAATTGCATCACAGGTATTTCCTTTTATGAGGTACAATTACAATAAAATTCCAACTTTACAGGTAAGTCTTGGTTCCTCATTCCAGAAGATCACATGTAAAGGTCGAAATGTCGAATCATGATTTCCTCTCATTATTCTGAGTAACATTTGTTCTACAATATGTAGATACTGAAGTCGTATATTCATTCATTGGTGTATAGATACTGAGGTCATAATATTCATTTATAGTGTATAGATACTGAGGTCTTATATTCATTTATAGTGTATAGATACTGAGGTCTTATATTCATTCATTCTATGTAATTATTTAACATAATCAATACATGTTTGTAAGTCTTGTTTAATTTTAAACATATACAAATAGCCTCCATATTTGTTTATTGTCTACTCGCTGATCCGTGGCGCAGTCAAGGGCCAATCTCTCTTCGTAGAGGTTGCAGTCCCCTTTACCGTCAGATGTTAAGTGGGCCTAGAGTTTGCACTTGCAAAAGGGCAAAAAAGTACTATTTTTCAGGGGAATAATACTTTTTGAGGAGAATAGAACTTTATATTGTCTGCTTCTTAATCAATTAGGTGCCTAGAATCTATGTATGAGGTATATAATCCAAAACAGCTTTTTCTTTTTAATGTGATCCGCCCTCCCCTCAGTCTGCCATCATATGTCGTTTTTATCATAGAAAATTGCAAATTAGTACGTAGACAAGAAACGTATATAGTGAAAATAATTTATGTTCATTGATTATTATGAGGTACTTTTAGAATTAAGACAGTGCCAATGCAAATTACACTCTATTATCGCAACATCAAATTGCAATCCTAATTAATTTGAAGCTGTTGTCAGTATCTTAGAGTGTTATTGTACCATGAATATATTATTTGATGGCACTAAGTTAGCTTATAATTTTGTTCATCAATTACCTAACACGCTAGTCACCGCAAGCCATCAGGCTAATCTACAGAGCTCAATGCTTTTGTATATCTTACTGTAGCCTGTATGTTGTCAATTACCTAAATGAAGAGCAATGTTTTTGCAACAAATTTGACAAACCTTTTGACAATTTTGACAAGTCTATCAATATGTAGTCACAAACCACGCCCAGCGATACAGAATTCAGCATAATGATTCTGCAAGATGTGTCCCTATAAGTGTTGCTTAAATCACTTAAAATATATCCGCCACAATTTAAATGTAGCTAAGCTTTTTTTGTATTTAATGTTAAGTGCATGGAAGTCACACATTGTTATTATTACTACTGAGCACTTTCCTAAGTTTGCTCATCCATATTCATATTGCTCATAGCTTTTTTAGTCCATGCAATGTCATCATTTCCTGTATATATATTCAAATGTTCAATTTAGTTTTCTTAACTTTAATTAACCTGTTAATTAGCGTGAACAGTTTGTATTTATTTTTTAAAAAACACAGCACGTGTAGTTTACACGTGTAGTGTGTCTCATTTTACACGCATTGTATGCACTCCGTTTTATTTTTTAGTCTATGCTTTACCATCGTAGTCGATGGTAATTATAGGCTACAAACTTGGCTTACCCTGCCTTATAAACCATTATGATTTTACTTATAATTGCACAGTCGATGTGTGTGTATAGGCCATACTGCAAGAAAGGTACTGCTATGCCATAAGTTGGGGAATCTGATTTTTACATCTAGCCCTAACCAAACTAGGCCTTATCTAGGTGATCACAACAATTGCAACACCACTCATGCTTCTTCTAATAACCCACTGAAAATTTGTGTCCATTTTCCTTGATTTGTGGTCATTTAGTAATTAACTAAATAATGTAGTTATTATGTGAACATTTTTTTTAGGTTTGTGTCTATTCGTGGTCGGTGACGAAATAAACAAGAGTACACCCTCCTACTGCATTGCAAGATTTAGATCTTCGAACCTCTGAAATAAGAATCAAGAAAATAATGAAGGAGCATAAAAGTGTGTTATTATAGTGGTAGATGCATGTAGGACCGCCTCACTGTTCGTCTGAAGCCCTGCATTGATCATTATGAGAAAATGAAGGTCTCAAAATGACGGACCACACTCCTTTGAGGGAGGACGGTCACAGAAAACATTATGTTTTGTATTCTTAAGGGATAAAAAGAATGGATGACTCCTTAAGATGATCTGACAGAATTAGGGAAGGCATTATGTGATGAACTATCATCACGGCCATCTTTATATAGATGCATGAACCACTTTTGATTGATCACCATCATCAGTTGTAATGATGCACCTGGCTTTGCTATCTCATTTGCTTTGTGTTTTAATATTTCTATAGAATTGAGAATAAACTTTGTTGTCAGTTATCACTATAGTAACATGAAATATTGCAGTATGTTGAACTTTTACTAATGTTGGCCTACGGTAATTACTCAAATAATGTCTAGGCCATACCTAGATACAGATGAAATATAATGTTGAATAGGAATTTCACCATTAAAACAGGTCTGCACTAGGTTTAGAGGAGTGGGAAGAGTCATATTATAGTTTAAGTACTGGTACATGAGACCACCACTGGTGGTGCCAGCAGGGGTGTTGGCTCTCAGAGATTTCCTCTGTCGTCAGTAACCATTATTTGCTACAGTATCCCTAATACTGTGGTCTAAAAGCACAATTTGGGCCATACTAAGCCATTAAAACTCTTTCCGTGAACCTTACCATGTAGGGATTTTTTTCCACAGGACCCTGATCAAGGCTTTAGTCAACCCATGGTTCAGACCCCACTCCCGGTCACACATGCCAGGCCCCATGTCAACAAATTTCTTGAGCCATTACTGGTGACCATAACAAGATTATGTACTGTAAATAAAGTATTGTGTCCAGGTAGCAACAGTTACCTGAATACGATAGTTGCTGGGGTAAAAGTTAACCCTGGGTATAAGCCCCTTCCCTTCTTTTCGTCTAATTTTACACACCAGCCTTTCAAAATTTTGGGGTATTTGAATCAGTAACTTTAATAAAAATATTGGTGTGTGTATTATATACTTATATATACTTAATTTGATGGTCAAATAAATAACTGAAATGAATTTTAGTAAAGTGATTTTATCGGAGATCGGAATTATGCCACCCTGACGGGAACAAGTGTGGGGAGTATGCAAAGGGTGGGTAGTGTGTGCCAGGTCATAGAGAGAATTGTAAAATGTTCAAAAATTCTACACGCATCAATGTTCGTGCCATGTGCGTGCCACTTGCTTGAACCATGCATGAACACTGCGCAAACACTGCCGACGGTGTGTGTCAATACTCTTACTCCTGCTGCCTTATCTCCTGCTCTTCAAGAAGTAATTGTCCTGTAGCTGCCAGATATAAACCCCTCTGTTCTGCAATAACAGAAATAAAGCTAGGTGTGAAACCTACGCTATATATATAGCGTGCCACCAAGCAAACCAAAGTGTGTCCGAAAATTGCCACAACGACTTTCTGCATGCGCGAAGTCGTCAGGGCGATGCGGGAAGACAACAGGACTATGCATGTCGTGCATGACACTGCAGGACAATGCGGTACGGTAGATGTGACCAATACTTAAACAATACTTAACCGATGTGTAAACAAGTAGGGTCGATGCATGCCAATGTGGCCCATTTGTGGCCGCGCATTGCGTATAACAGTGCGTAACTTATGTGTGTACAGTGCGAGAACAGCCAGCAAACACGGCTTCGCGCTCTTCTGCGTACCACCAAAATGGCACGCTTGCCATGATGCATTGTGCGGCGTTGCGGGGTAAAAAATCGTGCAACTGTAAGGGTGGCATTAGGGTTAAATTGAGTACCTTTAGCTGTTACCTGAAAACTGGTCTTACCATATTTTCAAAGGTTCACCAAATTATGTGTGTTTGGATGGTGTTGCTATAGCAACAAAACTACTGTACTGTATTTGGCATCAGTATTTGACTAATAATTTTGTTAATTTCATAATGACTGTTCATTAGCTTATTAATCTAACATTAATTCACCAAACTCAATTGCAGTATTTATTCATTTTAGTGATTTTAAGTTTTAATTATGCAATTATTTTGTTTGATCATTTCCTTTCAGGAAATACCTGACTTCTTTGATAAAGCCAACTCAAAATTACCAGCATTTGTAGTCAATTGTCATACAGGACAGGGAAGAACAACTGTTGCTATGGTGATGTGCTGTCTGCTACTATCACATAAGAAAGGTTGTCAACAACAAATCAAGTAAGGTTTATTACCATGGCAACAATAATAAAAAAGTACTATAAAGACTAATAATTAATAATAATTGATATTTAAATTTTTTTTGGATGTTAATCAATTAACACATTTATTTTAATTGAGTACTGTGTTTTTCCCATAACAGTTCTTATTTTCTTTTTGTTTTATATGATTTGCCCATATATGCCATGATAATATACTGTGTAATAATAATAATAAACAAGCATTGCTTAATTAAAAAAAATGGCAGTTCAATTGCTTCTTGAAGGCATCAAGAGATGCCATGATAATATACTGTATAATAATAATAATGAACAAGCATTGCTTAATTTAAAAAAATGGCAGTTCAATTGCTTCTTGAAGGCATCAAGAGATGCCATTTGTCCCTGAATATTGTGCAGAGCCTAACATATTCTACATAATATATAATCAAAATGAACAGGCTGCTTTCATCGTGGGGGTGTGTGAAAATTGAGAATGCGTATCTAAATTCCTGAAAACTTCATGGCATTTTTAGTATTTTAACTCACTTAGTGGAACTGATTTGCTGTCATGGTGGTTTGTCTGCACCCCTTCCCCCAGCCTACGCCCATAATGAAGAGTAGTATAAAAAGTAGCACTCAGTGAGAGGTTCTCCAGGTGTACCATGATTTCTTTGATCTTTCAGGTGTGACAGTATGGTATCTGATGATCACCTGAAGGGGGAAGGAGGTACGTTCTTGACTGTACTCAGACTCATAGAACTTCTACCAAAAGGCTTGCAGATGAAAAATGAAGTAAGATTATTCCTTCCATTTCAACACTATTACTTTTCATTTATTAATTCATACGACCATCGGGTAAAAAAATTTATCTACGTTCTCTGCGAGTACATGTCAATGCAACGCTGAGTACATCAATCGGTTGGACATGCCTCATTGCATACATTCTCTATGGAATTGCTGCGAACGATTACTGTCACGGCAGTAATAGCTAGATTGATATTCAAGACATTTTGAGACTTCAAGAAATGTTATTGGTCTATATATAAAAATACAGGAAATTTTATTGCTTGGCCAATGAGTATGAAAAAAATAATAAAAATATAAATACAGTACAATGTCAAAATTCATAAAAGGAAGACAAGATTGGTACATAATAAAAACGTACAAATGACAATGAAAATATTTATGAAAAATATATAATGTTTAAATGTTTGAAAGAAGCTAATAACCAGAAAAATGTTCAAAATTTAATTATGAAGTTAAAACTTTAATAAAATGTCGTAAAATTATTTAAAACATTAAAGAAAAAAAGTGAAAACTACTGTATTAAAAACACTAAATAATTCAGGACATATAAATTTCCATTTCATTTAATTGACCTTTTATTATTAAACATGAAAGATTATACATATCAATTTTTTATATTTTTATATTCCATAGATATAAATTTGAAATAGAATTTTAAATGTGTACATAAAAGGATGCCTTATGGACTCATTTTGGCTGAAATATAATATTAAATTTTAAAGATTTCAATATGATTTTTTTTGTCTTGCTGAATAGAACAAATTAAATAAAAAAATCTGAAGCCCATTTTCCTTCAGGTTGTATATGTCTTCAGGTGACTATAGTTGTTAATATTAAAACGTGATGGACTCAGATTAGTTTGCTAGACCATACTGCTTTGCTATTCATTACCATCAATAATTCTTACTTTGGTTGTCAAAACTTGATAGGATTTCAGTATTACAATATTAAAGAGACAGTGTTACCTACCATTAAGCTGGCGTCACACGGTCAAATTTGTACAAAATTTTGATACAATTTTTCATTTTGACAGGAGTATGTAGGCTACGGTCACACTAGCGTCTCAAGTCTGGCTTGACTCACCGCGGGTGAGATTTCAAGCTAGGCTCGAAATTCTGGATCGGTCACACTAGTTGGATTGACCTCCAAATTATGATAGTCGAAACAGCAGAGCCGTAGAGAGAGAGTTTGGCCAACTCTGTATACGGGATTCGATATACGCACGTGTGATTGGGTGGATCGCAATCAAAGATTTTACACCAGACGTGCCCGAACCTCTCTTCTTCAACTGATCTTTTATCAGCTTGTATTGGGCTCGCAATGCCTTCACTTTTGTTTGAATTTGGGCCGTCGTTCTCTTCTCATGTCCGAGACTGGCTAATCTGTCAGCAAGCACGCCAAAAAATCCCCTTTTGTTTTTTGTTTTTTTATTTTCTATCCGGTCTCTCAGCTCGGGTTGGCCCCACAAATCTACCAGGTCAACAGTTTCCTGGTCGCTCCAAATCAATTGCATTATTATTAATTAAAATTTGAATTAACTTTTATGAAAAGTAATGATTGCGTCTTGATTGAACACACATGAAGAACTCGCGGGTTTTTTTATTCAAGAACTTCTAAACGCAACGGCGTCATCGACTGTGATTGGTCGACAGCCGATGAGGAAATGTCAATCTCGGACACGCCAGGGTCAATCCAGGGTCAATATGGGTGCTGAGCCCGGATCGAGATAGGTAGATTGAGATCGAGGTCACGCCAAGTGCGAGTCGGTGCAGATGCGGTCACATTACGAAAATCTCACCCGCGGTGAGTCAAGCCAGGCTTGAAACTCTAGTGTGACCGTAGCCAAAGACACTAGGTATTCCCTAGCCACACTGTTAAATTGTTTGATATATAACTTGTCAGCCCATAAGAATTTTAGGGACAATCTCTATTAAGACCAAGTAAAATTAGGCCACTAGATATGCCAACACCCAGACGTTTTTAGTTTTTGTTCAATATGGATGTAAATTTGTTATTTACTGTTGTCAGTCTTGTATATTTGGTAAATGAAATGGAAAAGAAAAAGACAGTTAAGAGATTGAAAAAAAAAACGTACTTTGGTTAGGTCGTGGATTCACAAACGAAATAAATAGGGAGCATATCATGGTCTGTTATTAAGAGTTGGATGCTGGCGATAAGGGAAAATACAATAACTTTCTCCGAATGGATAAGTTGTCCTTTGATGATATTTTGCAAAAAATCTTTCCAATCATCAAATGAGAAGATACGCTTATGCGAAAGGCAATTTCACCAGGGGAGCACCTTGCACTGACTATGTTTTTTTGGCATCAGGTAAGACATATACGCAATAATTCACACATAACGGATTCTTTTACTTTAGCCTTTTCTTGTTTTTAGTATGTCTGAAAACTGTTAATTTTGGACTGTATATCAGGTACTGTGAAATTAAATGAATGCTAAAATGGAATGTGTACTTACATTGTAAATGTACCGTATACAGTGTACTGTGAAATTGACCACAACATCATTCAAGCTACTGTGTGTTACGTAGGCTAACTAAGTTGTATTTTATATGTAGTGTACATTGATAGGCCTAAAAAGAAAGAATAAATAACTACAAATTACTCACCAC